GAAATAGTCAGAAAAAGTCCGAAGTAGTCAGATTTAGTCCAAAAAGCGTTCCTTAACTCGGAAATGACAGCAAAAATGAGAGAGCAACAGTCAGTGAGAGCGACTCTCATCAGTCCGAAGTAGTCAGATTTAGTCAGAAGAATTTTTTCTGGCAAAATCCTGAAAAGTGTCAAACTCAACTGAATTTAAATTAACGGAAATTAAAGAATACGCAAAAAGTGAGAATAATCTAAAAAGTAAAAGAAATGAATTGAAATTGGAAGGAGGCAAAAAATAATTGATATAGCAAGTGTTTATTGTGCTTGTGCTTGTGTGAATGTGTTTTGTACATACATTTCTGTTCTTATTTGACGTTAGTTTTGTTGTTGCCATTCTTTGGACTAAAAATTTGGTTTTTTGCGTTCCTTTACTTTTCCTGTTACTCTCTTTTAGTGAGCGCATTTTGCTTACGCTCTGGCATTTTGACACTTTTCAGATTTTAGTCCAAAAAGATAAGGAATGAACCTAATATGTGGCAGCACTTTCAATTATGCCAGAGTTACATACTGTGGCCAAGGCGCATCTATACAAGGTGGTGGCAATTACATATAAGTAAAAGTCCCTTGTATTTTGTTATTGCTTTTTAGTACAGGAAGATGTCAAAACAAAAGGGAATAGGAGATAATTTTCGTCATTTCGTTTTGTTGACATCCTAACGTTGCGCCACTTCGTCTTGGATGACTTTCTCCTGTACTAGTGTAGAGACAAAAATATCCAATCAGCTGATCAATCAACACCACTTTGTATTGATGCGCCTTGACTGTGGCGAATACTGCGGCAACACAAAGCGCACAACGAGAAATTGGCAGAATGTTCGAGGAATGACGTAGAATTTTCCACAAAGAGAAACGTCAGTTGGATGAACACTGCGAACAGCGAGAGAAAGAGAATGAGCGATGAACTTCAAAACGTTCGAGAGTTGCCATGAGTGCGAGCGCAGGTATATAAGAGCCACGACACCGCGGAGTTGGAGTTAGTTACGAGTTACAAGTCAGCAAGCTACAAGTAAACTGAGCAGAGAAGTGAGTTGCGAATAAGCAAGCTATAAGTTTAATTGTGTTAACAAGTTTAGTAAAGCGTTGTTATTGCTTTAACAAGTATTGTAGTTTTTACTGTACTAGCGAGTATTGTAAATTGTTTGTTGTACAATAAAGTTAATTGTACTACAGTTTGGTCATCGTTAGCATTTATTTAACAATCCAGATATAAGAACCGAATCATATTTGGGAAACCCCTCGAGGTTTCAAGGATAATCGTAACATTTAGTGTGAGAAGTGGGATTGTTAAATAAATCCCGAGGGACTACTGAAAATGGCGAAAATTCAGGACTTGAAGATTGAGGAGCTGAAACAGGAGTTTAAAAAGCGTAATTTGGCTACCTCCGCAAGAAAATTGGAATTGTTATCACGGTTGCGATAGGCTATGGAAGCTGAAGGCATCGACGTGGACAAATACGACTTCCAGGGTAAACCCGAAGATGCATCCGCTAAAGACGAACAGAAGGATGAGGCTGCTTGTTCGTCGAAGGATGTGCCGCAGACATCCGGGAAGGTTGAAGAACAGCAAAAGGCTCCAGCTGTGGACATGAACACGTTATTGGCTGCCATGTCACAGATGTCATCACAGCTGTCATCTCAGATGCAAACACAGTTGTCAGATATTTCGTCGCAGCTACAGGCACAGAATACACACGTATCACAGTTTCTGGAAGTGCAGGATGCAAAGATTACACAACTGATAACGAACAAATCAAGGATAGAGAGGATAAAGTCGAGGCTAAGGTAGAAGAGTTGGAAGGTCGCCTCCGAGATTTGCAGATGAATCGTTCAGCTACTTCGACAAGTGCTCCCAAGGTAAAGACTCCATCCTTTGACGGCACGATTCCTTTCCAAGTCTTTAAGCTCCAGTTTGAGAAGACAGCTACAGCAAATCGTTGGAGCACGGAGGCTAAATCCGCTGCTCTGTTCGTGCCATTAAAAGGACCTGCAGCGGAAATCTTGCAGATAATTCCTGACTGTGAAAGGAACAATTACGATGCATTAATAGGTGCAGTGGAAAGACGTTATGGTAGCGAGCACAGGATACAGATTTACCAGATGGAGCTGGAGAATCGCTGCCAGAAATCCAACGAGGCTCTACAGGAATTCGCCTCCGAGATTGAAAGGTTGGCTCATTTGGCAATTGGAGATGCATCTGGTGAGCACCTCGAAAGAGTAAAAATCCAGAGGTTCATCAACGGAATGCGGGACGTGTATACCAAGCGAGAGACGTACGCGAATCCAAAGCCAACATTTGCTGAAACTGTCTCGTATGCTCAGACGCGTGAAACGGCGGCGCTCCTAAGTAGACCAGCCTACAAAGCACATCGCGTGGAAGTGGAAACACCGGACGAGACAAATGAAATGCTGAAGAAGATTATCCAACTGCTGGGCGAGAAAAAGCATGGCTCTGGCAAATGTTTTAAATGTGGAAAGCCAGGCCACTTCGCCCGCGATTGCAGCGCAAGTTCCAGTGCACTCAACAATTCAGCAGTACGCAAACGCAGGGCTGAAGGAGACGAATCCAAGTCCAATCAGTCGTTAAACTAAAACGAGCCGGCAGAAAGGGCCTCGTGCTGGCTCCAGAAGTTGAAGGGCCCATAATCTGCGTCTCACAAATTGGCCGGAAAGCATGCAACCTCACTGTTGGTGGATGTGTGAATGGGCAGGAGAGAGTACTGACAGTGGATACTGGAGCGACACATTCCATTATTCGACCGGATTTCGCCACTTGTTATGTAAAGCCACTACCTGGAGCAAAGCTGCAGACTGCAACTGGTGAACGCACCCAAGTGTTAGGAGAAGTACCATGCGAGGTAATAATCGACGGTGTGGCCTCGTACACTAAGTTTATAGTGGCAGACATTGTGGATGAAGTCATCATCGGCGTGGATTTCTTACTTGGCCAAGGCATGAAGATTGACCTCCAGAGAATGATCCTGACAGATCGTCACAGGAAAGTGCCACTTAGGGTTGGTTACGACAGCCAGTACTGCAGCAGACAGTTAGTCTTAGAGGAAGTGTCGAAGATTCCACCAGAAACGGAAGCGGTTAGTTGGGCGGAGGTTGGCAGTGATGGAGATGGAATGGTTTCGTCAGGAGAAGGAAGGGGTTCACCGATACAGGAAAAGCGTGACGGTTACGCCAGCTCAGTGAAGAAGAGGTCGCAACAAGGAAGTGGTCATGGCAAGCCAGGTAGTGTTTCCGGCAGGAGGAAAGCCGCTAAACCACGTTGCAATGGTGATACGCCGGTGGCCGGAAATGGAAGCGGCTGTGGAAGCAGTAGGCGCGCTTTGAAGAGTTCCGAAAAAGATGGTCGGCAAAGGCGAGCAGTTAAGCCGGAGGCCAAGGATGAGGTTATACATGTCCGGTCAATGTGGTTGACGCCGGCGAAAGAACGAGATGCGGAAACACTGGGCAAGTTTCAGCATGAGGAACCGTATTTAGCAAAATGTGTTAAAGGCAGTGCAGCACGAAGGCGGGAGCATGGGTGTCATGGACAGAGAATGCGGCATATATATATATATATAGATTGGCGCTTACACATATGTT